TTGTCATGTTGGAAGACCCAGCCATGACCCATCTTCAATGCTCTGGGTGAGGGAAGGAGGTTGTTGCTCAAAATCTCACAATAAATGGCCCCATTCATCCTCTCCTTAATACAGTGCAGACGTCCTGTCCCCTTCGCAGAAAAGCACCCCCAAAGCATGATGTTACCACCCCCATGCTTCACAGTAGGGATGGTGTTCTTGGGATGCAACTCATCCTTCTTTTTCCTCCCAACACGACGAGTGAAGTTTAGACCAAAAAGTTCTACTTTGGTCTCATCTGACCACATGACTTTCTCCCATGCCTCCTCTGGATCATCCAGATGGTCTTTGGCAAACTTCAGATGGGCCTGGACATGTGATGACTTGAGGAGGGGAACCTTCCGTGCAATGCATGATTTGAAACCATGACGGCGTAGTGTTCTACCGACAGTGACCTTTGAAACTGTGGTCCCAGCTCTCTTCATGTCATTGACCAGCTCCTCCCTTGTAGTTCTGGGCTGATTCCTCACCTTTCTTATCATCAGTGATACCCCACGAGGTGAGATCTTGCATGGCGCCCCAGTCCGAGGGAGACTGACAGTCGTCTTTAGCCTCTTCCATTTTCTAACAATTGCTCCAACAGTTGATCTGTTTTCACTAAGCTGCTTGGCAATTGCCCTGTAGCCCTTTCCAGTCTTGTAAAGGTCCACAATTTTGTCTCTGGTGTCTTTTGACAGCTCTTTGATCGAGGTTGTTGCTCAAAATCTCACAATAAATGGCCCCATTCCTCCTCTCCTTAATACAGTGCAGACAGGTGCTACTACTTTAGATTAATGAGTGGAGTAGAGGTGGACTTTTTCAAGGCACAGTAACAGGTCTTTGAGAGCCAGAATTCTTGCTGTTTCTCAGGTGTTCAAATACTTATGTTCAGCAGTGCAAGACAAATAAATTCTTTAAAAATCATACAATGTGATTTCCTGAAAATGTTTTTTTAATTCTGTCTCTGAGTGGGAATGCACCTACAATGTGAATTTCAGACCCCTCCATGATTTCTAAGTGGGAGAACTTGTAAAATCGCAGGGTGTTCCAATACTGCTGTTCCTCACTGTATGTATGAAGAAGTATTCAGAATTTAAATGCAGTAGGTTCAGTATTACATTGTCACTGTTTTGCAGGTCAAAGAAGTCCACCAGCAGAGTCTGTATTTATTGTGGGCAGTGATGATGATGACGACATGGTTTTAATAAGCACACCAGCCAAAGCAGCAGGATTGCTGGTAAAGTCTACTATTAGATAGAAATGTTCATAAGTCACAGAATGCAAGTCTGAGTCAAGTCTGAAGTCATGAAGTTAGATTCCAAGTCAAGCCTAAAGTCTCTGGGGTAGGAGTCCACAAACATCATCATTTTGGAGGCTGTAGTTTGTGCTGCTGTTAAATTGCGTTATATGGTGATTTTGTTATTTTTGTAAGCCCCATTTATATCAGTGAGGCTTGGCTAAATAACAAATACCTCTGTACAATGCAGTGCACTTCTCTTTCTTAGGATTATAGAGTAAAAACTAAAATTTTCCTTCTGCAGAAGTGTTAAGACTCACCATGTTTTTCAGTAATTTTTTACAAGTCAGAGTGAAGTCTGGAGTCAATTAGGTATGAATTTCAAGTCAAGTCGGAAGTCGAGTAAAAGTCACCAACTCATGCACATCTCTGCTATAAGTTTACTTGAATTAGTATAGTTTTATAACATGTATAATAGCTTTACTTACTATATACATACAGTATGTGTATTACTTTTTAAATAAAATGTTTTACTTCCAGGTGAGTTAAAAAAAGACATGAATTTAGGTTTTTTTGTTTTGCCAACAAATAATTCGAGTATTCGTCTAGTCAAACATTTGCATTCTAATAAATAAGTAAAAAAATATATAAATTTTTTGTTGAACTGTCATCATAACTGATTCTTCAGTGGCATGTACAAGCGATTTAAGAGAATATGTGGCATTCACCAACTTTCTTGTAATTAGAATTTTCTCTTGGGTACAAACAAAATTCACATGTGGTCCAGACCTAATGTACAAGTCCTGAACATATAGACTGCAGTCTTCACAGGTGGAAACACAGTGGTTTGATTTTTAGAATCATAGTGGCTTCATCTGAATCATTTTTGAGTAGAAATATAATACAACAATAGATTTATTGAAAAAATATGACAAACAAAATTAACATTCTACTCACCTTATCATCATCATCATCGTGGCCAATGTGTACTGAGTTTTTTTTTTTTATAGTTCAGTATTTTTACTCACATTTTGTCATAGTAGCTTCTACATACAGTGCCTTGCGAAAGTATTCGGCCCCCTTGAACTTGCGACCTTTTGCCACATTTCAGGCTTCAAACATAAAGATATAAAACTGTAATTTTTTGTGAAGAATCAACAACAAGTGGGACACAATCATGAAGTGAAACGAAATTTATTGGATATTTCAAACTTTTTTAACAAATAAAAAACTGA